GTGATGGCAGTATCATCGTTTGAGTTTTGAGGTCTAAAATTTTTTCTTGCTTGTGAAATTAAATCTAGATTATGTGTGAAATAATCTATTATTAACCATGCCAAGATTTTTTGTAAGTCATGTTTTGTATGTTGTGAAACATCATCTTTAGTGAAATTTTCTTTAATTATATTTAGAAAACTAGAGAGTAGTGTGATTTCATGTCGTACTCTTATATGTTTAGATGTTTCTGTCGGTGAGACATTTGAGATTGGGATTTCGTTTTCTAATATCGAGATATAACTATATATTATTGCAAAAACTTCATTGGTGAATATGGAGTTTGCTCTTTGTGAGTTATGATATTGTATGCTTTTTATATATTCTGAGAATACTTTTGAAAATTCTAAATCAAGGTCGTCTGTTTGAATTACATATTTGCTGTGATTCTGGTTTGGTGAGCTGAATTCTATGGAGTAGATTCCGTATTGTTGTGTTAAGTTGCATATATCTTTCAAATAGTGATCGATAATTTGTCTTTTGATTTTTACATCTGGGAACTCTGTTTTACATGGACTGATTCCGGGTTCAAACAAATTTAAGAGTAAATTTTTGCAAAATATATGCTGTCCTCTATCAGTGGTTGCATCTACGATAAAGGGGAAGATATCATCATCATCTGGACTTTCTTCACCTGGGGTGTGTGTTGAGCTCATTTTTTCGTTTGATGACTGTTAATATGTAACTATCGATGTGTCTAATTGGTTGATTCCAATTGTATAAGTGTACTGGTTTGTGTTTATATTGTTTTTTTATTCTTCTTTTTCCTCTTTTTGATGAATTTGAAGTTGTTTCTGAGTCGGAAAAATATAATTGATCGTGAATGGGGCAATTTTTATCTATAGATTCTTTTAATTTATAAAGTTCGTCTAAACTGCTGGTTTCTGATTCTGAAAATGCGTTTCGGTTTTTGGAAAATCTTTTTCGTGTTATTTGTCTTTGTTTGGTTATTATTTTTCTTTTTAATGTTTGTCGTTTTGTTCTAATGTATCCAACTGTTTGTGTATGTGGTGTGATTACAAGATCGTATTTTTTGTTATCTATTTCACAATTCTGTAAAACGATTGTTTGTTTATTTCCTAGGTTTTTAAATGACATAAGGTTTAGGATGACGGATGCAAAAGGTTGTTAAATGATTTCTATTTTCTTTGACTGTTAGTCCTTACGATTTTTTGGTTAGCCTAACCTGGGTCTATTTGTTCAGGGTTGGGGAGAAAAGTATATCGATTCCGAAGAATGATTTTATACTTTCTCGTGGCTAGTATAAGCTAAGGTGTTAACTTACTTCATCTTACTTAAGGGTAGTGATTGTGTTCAGGGTTGGAGAATAGTAAATCGATCCACAAGGTTCAGGTATAATTAGAACGCGAGTAGTTCGTTAGATACTATTTTAAACTTACTAAGTCTAAGATTTATCCTGGGTCTGGTAAGAGGGGGGATCAAGTGAAGGATGAATAACCGAAGTTCTTCACTGTTTATCCTAATTTGAATGATTAGTTTTATTCAAAAATTTCTGTTAGTCCTGGGTTTTTAGAAAGGGTTGGATAGTGAATCGACGTTTGAGGTCGTTAGACACTAGCTAAGTGGGTGGGGGAGAACAAAATTGTTCTTTTTGATCCAAGGATAGGCCTTGATGATCAAGTTTTAAATTTAATTAAATAGAAAATGATTTAAGATCCAAGGATGAGCCTTGATGATCTGATTTTAAATTTAAGTGAATTTAAATTTAAAATGATTTAAATTTGTGTAGAGAAAAGATTTAGTGTTTTTATGATATTAGTGAGCTTATGAATGCTGTTATGTTTAGGTGATGAAGCTGGAACAACAGGATGATTTATGATTACTAACCATTTATTGTCATGCTACTAATTTTTATTTTTATTTTTCAATAAATATTTTTCAAACATGTTTTGTATATTACTGCAGAATTTAGGAAAACGATCTGAGATCTCTTTATCAATCGTTATTGTATATTAATAATTTTGTTTAGCGCCTGAAATGATTTTGAAGATTGACTTCAAGATTTTATGTTTGCAAATGAAAATCTAAATTCATTGCTAGTAGTATTCTAAATACAAAAGTTTGTGTTGGCTTTTGCCGAACTATCATATAACTATATGGTAAGTTTCTACTTTGTCGTATGTCGTCTCTGGTTCGAGGTCTTCTTGCAATTCCGGGTAGTTCTCTTATCGTTCGGAATATTGGCTTTGATCTATTGAGTCGTAGAGACATTTCGATTAAATTATCGTCGTGTAACATTTTTTTTTAAAAATGTTTTGTCTAAATTCTAATCTATTTTTGGTTAATTCTAAGCTATTAAGGTCTTGTTCGAGACTTATGGTCGCACCAGATGAGTTAGGACCGAAGTGTATAACTCATAGAGTAATTTCGGATAGGGTACACCTTAGTCTAATTTCGGATAGGGTACACCTTAGTCTAATTTCGGATAGGGTACACCTTAGACTAAGACTAAGGATAGGGTACACCTTAGTCTTAGTCTAATACCGATCCTAATCTTACTCTTATACTATCTAGTCTCAGGTTGTTTAACTAGTCTCTGCTAGGCTCAATAGATCTAGGGTATACTGGTTTATTGCGGCTGCTGAAGTCTTCTTGGAGAGTCAACTAATTTCTAAGTTAAATTCAAATCTCTCTGGTGCTGAAATTACAAGTAATTTCAGCACTTACAAATAAGTGGGTTGTTAGTTAGATGGATCATGATTGGTTAATATTAAATACTTTACAGTGGTAAAATATCTAATTTATCCAATCATAAAATGTAGTTTAGATCAGGTTCCAGTACAAGGAGATAAATTTCTTTCTAAAAAGCATTAATAACAAAAACAGAGTGCCTTAATTCCAATCGAACAAAATAAAATTCAAGCCAAATAAATCCGCCGACTTCCGCTTTGTGTTACAGTGCAAATTAACACTTTGCACGAAATAATCACCCCAACAAGGCAATCTTCAAAATCCCATAACTTTGCAACAACTGGTCGTAGATGACATTGAGCTTTAGTTTTGAGCTCAGCATCACTATAATTCAGGCTGTATAAAACTTCCGTCAAAAATAATTGGTTTTGAAATCAAAACTTTTCTGAAGAAACAAAACCAACCCGAACACATATTTTCACAAACTTGCTTGAAAAGTCGGAAAAAGAGTTTCAATACGTTGGTCCACAAAAAAATTTAAATTAATGTTCCGCTCAGGAAACTCATGCATGAACTGAAACTACGAAGTTTTAAATCGTTGTTTTGCAGCAATACTTGTGATGAATCACGACAAAATCTTCTTTTGTTCACGTGCATCGACTCAGTATGAGTCGATTTTAAACTTAATTGTATAATTAAAAGTTGTCAATTTTTAAAGCACATTCACAGACATCATATCCTAGAAGGCATAATTAATCAGGCAATAGAATCTAAGGAACAATCAAAAGAGAGCAACCATCACAAAATTATTCAGCACAATAATCATGTTGGCGGTTTTTCAAGTAAGGGTTGTCAAAAAAAATTGCCTTCAATATGTAAAAAGACTGCATCACTGATATCTACCCAAAAAGTTACATCAAAGTCCACTTTCGCTACCAAGAACTGAAAGAGCAGACCTCGTGGATCTACTAAGGCCGAGATACCTGATCTAATTCGAAGGAACATGCAAGTGGTCGAAGCTCTTGGTCATTTGCCTTACTTAAAAGATCGTGTTTAACGTCTAGACCTAGACACAGTTCGGCTCTTTTCCAGTCCTCTTGTGAAAATCAGAACTGAATTGTCAAACACCGAAAAAAAAACGAAAAGTTTCGTGATGTGAAAACTGTTCAATTTTGACCTACTTTTCTTAGTATCATAACTCATCTTTGATCTTAAACTTCGCATACAAACCGAAAACACAAAACTGTACGTTCGGTATCAATGTTTCGTGTCTAGTCAGCAGGGTTGCATGATTAAAATCAACTTGATTTAAATCAATGATTTAAATCGGATTTTAATCGTAGAATAAAAATTAAAAAATCAACCCTTGTGTTATCCTGCCGAGTGCCGCGATAAACATACAGCCCAGCTTGCAGTATTTACATTGGTTACGTAATTCGCTCTTCATAGCATACTTTTAACTGGAAAAGTTTTTCAGCACTTTCGCATTTATCCATTCCAGTCTCAGAAATTGACTGGGAATAGACAATTGTGGGTAACTTGTGTTCTTCTTTCGGATGCTGAATCAGTATTTGTGCGTAAATTAATTGATTCTTGAAACAAAAACGTTTCCAATAAAAATCGAAAAAATCAAAGTAAAATAATAAAAATCGGATTTAAATCAATCGAGAATATGCATCAGATTTTTATGCAACCCTGCTAGTCAGGAATTCGGATATCAAATTACTGCAAAAAAATAAGAAATTAGAAATCTGCATACAGTTGGAATCAACAAGGATCATTTCTCGGCGACCAGCAACAAACTATCTATTGATAATCTGTATTACCGACAAAATACTATCAAAAAAGACACTCAATTAACGATATCTTTGACCATAAATAGTCTATTTTCCTGGAAAAACATTAAATCTAAAATCAAAAAATGTTTCAAAAAAATGAAAAAAGGGACCAGAACTGTGGATAATTAAACGAAAGAAAATTAAAGACCGGAATAAATCTTGAACAAAAAGTTGAATTGTTAATTAAACACAGAGTCCAAAATGCAAATTTGTAAACAAAAGCGAGGAAGCGGCAAAAGGGAACTTTAAAATGCACAAAAAAACGGATTTTTTTTGCTAAATTTGTCGCTTACACAAATTTACACTGTTATTCTGCGTCGTAAAAAAAACTAAATTGACTAACAATTATATCAAAAAAGCATATCAAAACGGGAGACTTCAAAGTTTAGTAAATTATGTAAGAAGTACCTTTAAAAACTTGAAAATTGCGCTAAGAGAAAACGTTGGTTTACTTTGCTTTATTATACTTACGTGGAATCTTCGCTAAAGCAGCATTTTAGTCCATAATTATCGTGAGCCTGGAAACTTTTCTTGGGGAAGAATTTCTGTGATGAGACCACGTGGGTCGATGTCCCTGTTCCTGAAGTGGTTCCCGAAGTATTGCCAGCTACTGAATTCGCCTCTTCTGTAGATCCTTTATAACGACAAAACAATTAGTTCAACGGAACAATCAGTTCAAAAAGCTTCACCTTAAAACTTAACGAAAGAATTAAGCAAGTACTATGCAGAGGCGACTTTTGGATGGGGGAGGTGCGCACACAACCCTTTGAGGGATATTTGACCCCTGGTCACCCAAAGGGTCCCCTCTTTGGATGATCACCAAGAAAAGCGTCTTCGCGCCGATAAAAACTAAATATGAGGGGAAGGGCGCACAAAGAACGCAATTTTTTTGACAAAATCTTCGAAAATGCCGACATGTCCTAATTTTTCTGAAAAAATTGCCAGCTCGCAGAAAATTTGGGGAAAATAGAGTCAGACAATTCATGACCAAATTTACCTCTTTTGAAAAGTCTAAAAGAACCATTCATTTGTTAACTCTTACCTCCAGTAGTCGAATCCGAATCAGTTCGGCCACTAGTAGCTGCATCCGAGTTGGAGTGTTCGGGTTTGACTGTGACGAAACTGGATACCTGCCATATATGACATGTACCCTTGTTAGTGAGTGCTGCAAGCATTGTCGAGTCCAGATCCAGAGCCAAAGACTGGATTGAGACAAAGGCGTCATCTACAAGGTCGCTCTCGATTTTAAATTGAGTCGTTACCGCATTTCTAAATTAGATATAAAATGTTCTACGCAACGGAAACGTTTCTTATTAGAAAAAATGACAAAAAGCATAACATGTAGATCTTTCAAATTAATTCCCTGCTTCGTAGATGAACTGTCACAAATAGAAGCAAGGCGCGATTATATTATATTTATTATAGATATAGTTTTTCATTGCTTTCTTTTTTATGCACTTATATTTATGTTCGAAAATAGATTACAAAAATGGTGTCCGACACTTTAACCGCACGTTAATTAACCCCTATGTTTACACCCCTATTTTATATTCCCGTACCAAGATAACCCCAGCACAATTTGACCCCCTTTTAATACCGATAATTTGTTTCAAATAAAGCACCTTTTACAACCATAGTAGTATTCCGATTAAGTGTACTAATTGAGGCCAGAGAAATTCTTCATTCATTAGATGCATTTAGTCACTCAAAAATAATTGCATTTCGATTAGCTAAAGAAACAATCCCTCATTCACGCGCTTAAACAGAGATAACGTACACGTTGAAGGCAACAAAAGACGTTCGTGAGTTTTATAAAAAAAATTATAATGCCTTACTTTTTAACTATTGTAACACCATTTTATGAGCTATCATGTCTAAAGCGTCCTTCGTTTGTGAGTTTTATAGAAAAAAAAGTATAATGCCTTAATCTTTAACTATTGTTCCACCATTCTATGAGCTATGTTTGAAGCGTCCTTCGTTTGAAGCGTCCTTCATTTTATCTTACCTTCGAAAAACAATTAAATACTAGTGGTATCAAAACAAAACTACTACGAACTGGAACTGCTTAAAATACCAAACCCACAAATGCCGAGCAACAGCAATCACGGATGAAGACAATTTTATTGAAAATAGGGGCGAACATAATCACAATAACTCAACGGGAAAGCCTGGTGCTCGACTAGTTTTTAAAAAAAACATCAGGAATCTGAGCGATTATACAACCCCAATCGTGGCAGCTGCAACCGCACTTCAGCCAATAACAGACGACATTGCCACAAAACTAGCCTTACCAACTTAAGAAAATTTAGTTCGAACTGCACAACGAATGCGCGAGCATCGAGAACAGGTTTTACAGTCTCTCCAGCAACCAGAAATTTCGAAATACCCGATCTATTCAAAAAAACAATAAGAATTGACAGTGAAAATGTCCGAGGGGATTAATTTATTCGGTGACCCTAAAATGCTACGTGTGCTAGAAAAATCCAACTTTTTTTGCTGGATGACGGTACTTTCAGTTGCCTCAAAAATGTTTTTATCAATTTTACTCTATACATGTTAGTCTTCAGGAATAGCCCCCGCTTTGATAAATGAGTCCCTTCCAAATAAAACGGAAAAAACTACCACCGTAATTCTCAGAGTCCAAGCTGTCGGGATATTTCTTTCATCTTTCAGCAAATTACATGAGAAAAATAGTGGAACTCGGATAAACAAAGGATTACGAAACAAATCACGAGTTCGCTTTAGCACTTAAAACATTACCCTCACTGGCTTTTGAAAAAGATGAAATATTATATTTATACGACAAAACAGGAAATGTAAATACTTTGCGATCGCACAATAAAAGAGTCGGAAAAAATTGCAAAGTTGACGAGCTATGCCTTTATTTCGGATCCAATTACATGAAAAGTCCCGTCGCGAAGCGAGAAGCCCTATTCTCCCTTCACTTTGGAATCAAGGGGATACGGTATCATCCGGTTTGGCCAGAAAAAAAATGCTGTAGAGGGCTGACATTATGACATCAGTCATATTTCAGTGGATCGCATCCCAGTATCTGGAAAGTGATAGCAATTTTGCAAAGAGATGCTTCCGTCGAAAAACTCAAGTTCTATAACGCCTCGAGTGGGCAAACTTTTTACCTAAATTTTTTAACCTCTACCATACGTGAATTTTACCTCTACTATTTGAAATATCATGTTTCAAGTACTGTTTGATTTTGGTGGAAAACTAATTTTTTTTTCTCCTGTAGTATGTTTACTGTACCTAATGTATATATTGTTGTATATAATGTATTTAACTAATATATACCTACACAGTGTTCAATGGCAACAATTTTCAACATAGCCTAAGCTCGCTTTAAGAGCGAGGGAGCATGATCCACCAATGTTTCAACAAAAGAAGGCGATGGCAATTTCTCGAGTTCAAGAGAGAGTGCACTTCAGAACCCAGTGAAAAAGATGATGATGATAATATAATGATAATGTAACTAACTTGGACAAATCTAGCAGGTGTATGGTTCCCTGGTGGTCCCCCACAATCAGTTCAATCTGGTTAGGGTGCAGCACCGCACAATTGGCGGGCCCCCCACATTTCAGGTCGTGTTTCAACACAGGCGAAGAGGAGTCCTCTCTAGAAACCAAAAATGTACGTTAGTTGAGTCGAAATTAGACTCGAACTTCGCCATCATTACAGAGAACCCTTAAATTATTAACAAAACATCATCTGAAATAAAAAAAAAACATGAGCAGGATGGTCTGAGAGGTAAAATGCCTCAGAAACTCCACCATTTTATCGCCCATTTTGACCAACACTTTTAAGAACAGATCGATATTTGTAAATAGGCCGCGAATGGAAGAGACTGGGCGCCAAAGCCTTGATAATTTCAGAGTTAAAATTCGATGAGCTCAAAGTCCTTCTGTATGATCTTTTAAGGGTTTGCATTGCTTATGCCGTATTTCACATTATCAAACAATTCTAAATCTTCTAAATTTTAAGACAAAAGTATGACAACAATGACTTACCGTATCTCCCATATACGCACAGTTCCGTCTTCTCCCACCGTGTACATCCAACTGGCTTCCTCTTGGAATCCCAATTGCATGATGTTCTTGCTGAAGCCATTGAACTTCATCACCCTGCCTCCAGCTGCTGGCACTCCACCTAACGCAACTTACGTAATCTATTGTGTAATCTACTAACAGATTATATAATCTATTATGCAGCTCCACTTGAACAATAAAATATATCGGAGTGTTGAAGCTTATCAACTTTAAGCATGAGCCGAGCATATAAGCCAAACGAAAGTTAAGTTATTGTTCCGACCATTTGAAAAATGGGGCTGAACTTCGTATTCGGATGTGTTTTAGTTTTTTCTTTCTAATTTCCACGCAAAATCAGGTACCACAATTATTTATCGGAATGGGTCGAGCGATATAGCATAATAGAGCCCTTTCAATAATGATTCGAACATTTAAAAATGTAAAAAATTTTTCAGTGTCGAGCAAAACCGGTTTGAAATTTTCGATTTATTGTCTAATTTCGAACTAATATGGTGTGAGCGTGTAGGCTTACAATAGCTTATTTAAGCCGTGAAAACTTAGTAGTACTCAAATGAAAGTAGTTTTTGGAGTTTTTAGCGCCCTTTTGGAAATAAAGGTTAAAAATAAAGGTTTTTTCAACCCTTTTTTCGTTTTTCTAGTCAATTTTCTTCAAAAACTGTTTTCCGAATGGCCTTCATCATTATGACTGTCAAATATGCCTAATTTCTTTTTTTTTGATCTTTTTATCACACCATGCAGAAAAAAAGACACTAATTTGAAAAAAAAATTGTATTTTCCCAAGACTGTGGTTGTAACATTCTGTGCTACTTGCACAGTAACCGGCTAGAAATAGGAAGGCCTTTAAAATTGTGTTGTGAGGCTTGTCATTATGAGAACTGTGCAAGTATCTAATGTTGTGAATAAAATTCATGTTGTTTATCACAATATCTTTGCATTGCAAAATCTGGAAAATATACAAGGCGTTTTTCAAATTTTTTTAAACTGAAAAATGCAACTAAGTTCAGTCAGTCAAGGATATTTAGGCAATTAAACAACAATATAAACTAAATTATGCGATTTACATCATATTTTCAAAAACAGTTGAACCTAAATCGTTCTGTAATTGATGCGTCTTTTTCCGTTGATGAGGCAACCTTGAACACCGAGGCGAAGCAAAAATCATAAAAATTCAAAAACGTCGAAAAAAATAAATGTATCAAAATAAATAAGGCTATTTTTGAACCAAAAACGTTCCAATACACAAGAATGTAAGATAGGCATCGAAAGGAAATTTATTAAGAGGTAACAAAACCGAAAAAACTCCAGCAGAAATCCTGAGAGACGAAAAAAACTCAACAAGACTTGAAAAAACTCATTAAGTGCAACTCACAGCCAAACACATATACACACACATAAGAAAAACAAATTATTCGCTCGTCAAATGAAACAATATGAGGCTACTAAGCTGATATAATTTAGGCCGCAACTTAGAGCCAAAAAACAAGGAAAACTTATCAAAAACGAAAAAAAATTTAAAAGTAATAAAACGTCAAAAAGTCATTAAAACCTCTCACCCCCAAAACACATACAGAAAAAAAGGTACTTCATTTGACGAACGACGCAATATGAGTCCACTATGCCAATATAATATAGGCCGAAACCTATTAAGTCGAAAAAATCAAGAAAAAGACAAACAAGGCCCCCTCACCTTAAAAACACAAACACACAGAAAACTTTTTTTTGCTTATCTTATCGAACGACGCAATATGAGGCCCCTAAGCCAATGTAATATAGGCCAAAACTATCAAGCCAAAAAAGGAGAAAAAAAAAACAAAAAATGAAAATTTGACAAATCGAGTTGGTGAAAATTGTGAGATTTACATAAGTGGAGTCAACTCAGAAAAACAAGTTCCGTAAACTCTGCCTGTAAAACAAAAAAAACCATACTCAAACTTTTTCGAGGACCTTACTTTTTTTGCAAGAATAGAAAAAATTACAGAAATCAAAAGCCCGTGAAATCATCGTGTTTCCGTTGGAGTTCAATTCTGTCGTAATCTCGGGCCAATTTTTTTCGAGTCTTAAGATACAAATTTCCCCTTCAGCAAAAAATAACACCAAGAAAAACCTCAAGAACGCTGAAACCAAGTAATGTATATCAGTTTTGAAAATATTCAATTTACAAACTATTTGGTTATCTTTTAATCACAACGTGTTCATACCACCGTTAGAAAATGCGATGATTATGGAAGAAAAACAGGTATTTTTTGACGCAAAAGGAACTGATATAATTTTAGTTCAAGCATAGAATCAGTATGAGACCAATCTTGACTGCTAAAAAGTTTCCAATATCCAAATAGACGCATTCCACATTGACCCTGAAAATGGTAGGGCAACCATTCCTAACATGCAACAATTCGTAATTTATTAAAAAGAATGCCAATGAACTCAAGAAAACTGAAAAATATATATATTTTTTTGCAGTTTTCAAAGTTCAAGTTTCGGGGATAAATATACCTAACGCTTCAGCGCTTTGCATTTCAATAACTTTTTGTGATTTATGATTTCATTAAACTAACTCGTATTGAGAAAATTGGATCAATAGATAATTTTTTATTCCACAGAGCATTCAAAAAATTTAGGTCCATTTTTGTAACTAGAGGTCTTTAGGTTTTTTGGACAATTTACCTTTTCTTTCAGCAAATGAATTTGAACTGCACTTTACAACAATCAAAGTTGGGCGTGAACAATTGTTTGTTTACTAAGACTGGACCACGTGAACTATCTCCCGCCTAAATGAAATTAGGGAGGAGAATCTTTAACTTGGTTAAAAGTAAAATTTTTCAGCCATTCAGACTAGAGTATGGCAAATGAATGCCTTACTGCTTGAAATTGCCGGGTAATTTAAGGGGGCGATTGTTCCCTTTGTCTATTCAGGGGCGAGATTGTTATTCAGGGGTGAGATTGCTTAGATTGCCTTTAAACTTACCAAAAAAGTTGCAAAAAACAAACCATTTAAAATAGTTATGCAAGTAAAACTATTGAATCTTTAATTATGTTACGCACAACTGTCTTTTCGGCTCTTTTCCAGTTCCCCCCTTTCAAAATACCGAGTTATGTTTGTTTTACGTTTTATTACGGCTAAATGCGTGATTTTACGCTGTAAAGTATGAAGAACAAATCTGTTCACAGTTGTCGATTTGTTCACCACGCTTAATTTCATTGCATTACGACAACGTTAAATAGACTTTTCAAAATTGAATTTGAAAGGAGGGGGGAACTGGAAAAGAGCCGTCTTTTCAAATTGACAGATCAACTCTGAGCAATGAAACAAACTTCTAAATCAGTACCTGTTCCCAGAGGACCACCCACTGCTCCTGCTCCAACAAAGTCGTAGAGCTGCACGTGCTGGTAGCCTAAAACAAACCCAGAATGACAGCCAAAATGTCTACACCTTGAGTCAACCTAACTAAAAATAGATGAGCTCGTACGAGAGAACACAGATTTGAACATCTCTATTTGTATTCATAGTGCCATTTGAAAAACATTGGACACTTTTGTATGGCAAATTTACGAAGGGTTGGGAAACTGGAAAAGAGACAATGAGTCATACCTCCACAAGCTAGAAACCTTCTGTCCGGAGAAATGGCCATGCAATTCACTTGCTGAAACAAAAAGGTTCTTTTTTAATTGTTCCGACTTTCCAAGAAAACGGTATATTTATGCTCGGTGTAGTTTTTTTATTCAGTCAATTTTCACCGATCGAAAAAGTAATTTTCAGCAAAATTTTTTTATACCTCATTAAAGATATCGACTTTCTGAGTTCAAATGTAAAGAGATATTTTACCTCCAATTATTTTTTGTTAAGTACTGGGGTTTGCAAATTGCTAAATTTGCCATGTTCTGGACTAAATTATTTGCGCTTTGAAGAGTTTATTCATAATGCTGAGAGCGTAACGCGAATTATTTATGCGTGGCGAATTATCCCGCACAACAAAATCATTCCAAATTGAATTGAGGCTAGCTAAATGGTTATTGTTCCGACTTTCGATACGAAAGTTACGGAATATTTGTGCTCGGGGTGGGTTTTTGTTTTTCTTCAGACAAATTTCGACTTTTTAACTAGCCATTTTTGACGGAATTTTTTATATCATTCGAAAGGTATTGTTGTCCTGAGCTCAAATTTGAAAAGATATTTCACCTGTGATCATTTTTCGTAAAGTTATGGGGGTTTAAAGATTGCCATTTTGGCCAATTTGGGACAATTAACGCGCGATAAATTTCGCGCTATTAACGCGTAAGCGGAGAGTTAATCCGTCTTAGAAATCGTTTCAAATTGGTTTAACGAAGCTTATTTGCCATAATTGATTTGTTACAAGTAGCGAAATCTATCCTTTTGTACTTTTTATGGCGTGTGGGGGAATGATTTTTATAAAATAATTTCAAATTTTTGAAAAAAAAAATTTCATTTTGTTTAATTACTTTTAATTTTTTAATGATATTACTGCTCCATAAACCTTAATGGGCAGTCGGAACATTCAGGGATTCGCCCTGATACGAGCAGTCTTGTATTAATTTCGTGCGACCGAAAATTTTAGACATTGACATTTTCCAAAATTTATAGGTTTTCAATACTTTCTTTTCCCAAAAACTATTCGATATAAATTAAGGGACAGTCGAAACATTCAGGTCGTTGCCCTGATATACGAGCAGTCTTGTTTTCTTTAAAAACTGGTTTAAATTGCCTCCTAAAAATATTTCTATACATTTCAAAATACCAGTTTTATGTAGTTGAATTGACAACTTGGCAACAATTGAATTGGCAACGATTGAATTGACAACTTTACTACTTTGATCACCTGTTCATAATAAGGTTCTCTGATGTGAAATTGATGTATCTGTTGCAAGGAATTTAAGCTAATTGGAAAAATTTTTCTCGTGGTACAACTATAGTAGCCAAAATTGGCCAGGCTGTAGCAGACTTTAAGCTAGGGGTCAAATGAGAGCTCGTCCTCGCACATATTTTAATGCAATTTGAGAATTATGGATTCCGTCTCAAATGACATAAAAATCAAAATTTCCCAAATGGCATATACTCCGTAAAACATTTGTATTGAAAAAAGTGTCGACAGAAGTTGATTTGTGAACTAGGTGCGAAAAGTAGTAAAATTGTCGATTAACATTGTGTTTGAAAGCAGTTTAGAAGGATACCTATCAAAAACAACAACTTGCTGTTACTGATTAGTTTCTTGTGATCAACTGTTCTAGCACAGTTGTCTTTCAACATTTGTTTTGAAGTAATTGATAGTTTTGATCATTAGTTTTTGATCCTTATAAAAATGAGGAAAATTCTTTTATTGAAAGTTCTCGAGTTTCAATGAAAAATTGAAATTTATGCCACCGAATTATGCCTTTTGAGGCGTAATCACCACGACCTATAAAATACATAGACCACTTCGTTGATTAACACTGAATCAAACAATCCGTCCACTCAAATTAGTTTAAAAAATTTACAGTCTTGAAACCTCATCTGCTTATTATCTGATCGGTCAATATTAACACTTATGGCCTGGATTTATTTTCTTACTTTGAGGTTTTCGCGATTAACTTCGAGATTTTCGGGGGATAGCACAATAGGTACTTGAGACAAGTTTACAACCACTTGAACATAGTTTGAATGATACGAAATCATGAAGCAGATTTTCCAGAGAATGATGAACGCCAAAAATAACAACATCAAAGCTCAAAAACTACATTCAGAGTGAAAAAGAATCAATAAAACTGAGGCGAATAAAGCTACTTTTTTCGGTCAAAAGTAAAAAAATGCTATTGCGTAAAGTATTAGGATGCTGCGGAGAACAGTTTTTGCTAATCAGATACAAGGCTAGAGCACCCACCAACCCTGGTAACTCTCTTTCCTCGATGAGGCAATGGTCGCCCAAAAAAAGCAAAAAATTTTTCTCGATAATCAGATGAAATAAATTTTTGTCGGTCAATGGATTGCGTGCTACGAGCACATCAACCATCTACTTGCTGACGTCTTTTTGTAGCGTTTTACCGTCTTTGCTTGGGGGGAGGGATAGCTCAATTGGTCATTACGGGGGGAGGGGGGGGGGGTGAGTTTGCTGAATTGATCCTAAGTTAGTCTCTGAAAAACGGTCAATTTCCGAAAAATTTCTCTCGGCAGGGTTTTTTTTTACATTTCACGACTTTTTGAATCTGAAGCAAATGCTAAATGCGTGACGTCACGACTTCAAGTATGAATCTGTTCACAATTATTAGTTTGTTCACCATGCCAAATTTCATTGCATTATCACAATGTTAAATAAGCTTTTCAAAATTAAATTTGAAGATGGGGACATGTAAAGAGCCGCAACAGTTCCTTCCCACTTCGTCAAATGGTCGGAAAATATACCACTTACTGAGTCTGCGTGTTGTATCTCCCTATATGGAATTCCGCTCTGGAGCGACTCTGGGTTCCAGAAACGCACCGTCCGGTCATAACTGGAAGTGACCAGCACTATGTCACTGGGTGAGCTGTGATGTCCAGCTGAGCCGCCAGGGGCAGGATTTGAAGCCAGTCTGTTAGATGCTACACTGGGTGTCATATTACTATATCTGGAAATGCGTCCAATCAATTGCAAAAAAATTGTAGATTATTGATTACATAGAAAAATAAGCTAAGCTTCTCAACAAGCAAAAAAAATACGGCAGAAAGAAGCTCTAAAAGGCAAAATGCTAGAAAATACTAAAAATTAACTTGAAGAAAAATAAGCATGATCAATTTGGTGATATTACGTTTTGAGGTATAGAAAGCAAATACGTTCAGTCAGTCCATTCAACTTTTTTATTGCCCTCGGTCCTACTCAATGCAGGACCAACCAGGGGAGGGGGGGGCGTGGTGGGAATGATTCGACCATAGCTATATTCGACCATATTCTTTTTCCACCATAGCTATGTCAATTATGTTTTTTAACTGAGAGTTCCTAAAGAGTCACCTATAAGAGAAAACGGTGCCAATTTCAACGCTTATCCAGAATATATTGTCGGGTAATATTTTGTTTACGATTTCAAAGAAAACTAAGCAAGACTTAGGTTTCATCAGACTTAGATTTCACTGAGCTCGAAACCAAAACCCAAATCAAACACGAGACCCATCGATATATAATAACAGATTGGGTTCTCAATATCTGCACCTCTGTAAAAACCGCTCTCGAAAAATAGTACAAGGCAATTACCAGCTGCGAGCTGATCGTGAACATAGCTTCAAAAACAAAGATAAACTTAACTTTTCAGCATAAAAAAAATCAAAACCATCAACAAATCTATCTATCATCAAAACTGCACCAGATTAAGAGAGGAACATTGAGATTGAGAGATTCAAAAACAGTTTTTCCTCTCTCTTCTCTTTACTTTGTTTCCTGCTCTGTGAGTAGCATATTGGGAATACCTCGTGTGACCTTGAACTTCCTGCCTGATTCGGGACACACCAGGAAGCCCTCTTGCACCTCAATTTCCATCAGAGCATGGTGGACCAGTCTGAGGAAGTCCTCGCTGTATTCAGAGTCGCCCGAGTCTGCAACAGAAACAACTGGACACGTTTTCAAATTAACCAGCCAGGCTCTTTTTCAGTTCTTTCTTCGAACATTCCTAAAGTTTGATTCAGGAAAGCCTATTTAAAATGACGTGCTGTTCTAAATGGCAAACAAACGTGAACAAAGAAACAGTTTTTTACAACTTTTCTGACATGCATATTGGCGAGTGATTACCTTCTTCAATCTTCAAACGAATTCAAAATGTTAAATTGCAGGGAAATGATTGGCAAACAGGAAAATAACCACCAGCCAAACCGGGGGTTAATTATTAAAGGTTAATTAAGCTACGACTATCTTACAGAGCTCTAAAAGTAAATATTTTATAGGGCACATGCGAATTGAACCAGCTATCATATAAATGCTAGGCACAATCACTTCCAGGTGCGCCACATATGTGGTTAACGTTTTACATATATAACTGAAAACACCTGTGGATCTCATTTTGGCCTTGAAACAAAACTTGAGCGAAATAGAGCTAATAGGAAAAAAAAGCTGGAGTCGTGACTAAAATGCTGTCGACACCGAGATTAGTCGTTTCCTCATTTTTCTTACACAGGGGCAAACGGAGCTTCGCACCAATTCCGATACAACAAAATCATTAAAAAACATAAGAAAAACAATGAAAAAACCTAGTTAAACAAAAAATTTAAATTTTCTTATGTCTCGATGGAAGTTCATTCTGGGAAAAATTGTCAGACCTTTGCATATGAAATAAGCAACAGAATAAAAATTATGAAGAGGAAACAAAGCCGACAATCTTTGAGCAGACAAAAGTTGAGACGAAAAAATATGATTTAATAAAAAATCGTTCAAGTTTTAAGTCCCACCTGAAACTACAATGAACAACACTTGCACTTGCAACTATAGTGAAAGTTGCTTAAACAAAAAGAAAACCCTTGATGTGGCAGCTAATCCGGCGATCTTTGAGCAGACTCCTGTTGAGCCAAGAAAACATGATTAAACAAAAACTAAAAAGTTTCAAGTCCACCCTCCCTGAAACTTCGAAGAATTACACTTGCCACTGCAATAAAAGTTGCGGACAGCACAAGCAAGATGTGTGATGTGACTACTAAGCTGATAAAACTTGAGCAGACAAAGGAAAATCCGACAATTCGATGATCAGCGAAACTTTTTCAATTGCATAAATACTGCAAAAATAGGGGGTCCGGACGAGACTCAAACCCCAGACCTAAGGGTTCAAAGGCGACGGCATTACCACTATGCCAAGTGACAAGGAAACAGGAATTTGTGAAGATTCAATAACAAAGCCAATTGAAATTTGTAAAGAATTTTGTTAAAGGGATAAAACGTCTAGCTCCAGATTAAAAGGCACTTGCTTTCGCAAGTGTAATGACATACCACATCGTAAAATAAAAAAATAACTTTTTTATTGGTCAGCAAGGGCTCAAAAATTTAATCACATTAACATATCTTTCGATTTTTTGGATACTTTTAAATACAAATACTTACGAACAGAAAGCTGCCTTTTTCAGCTTTAATGAAAACACCAATAATTCCAAAGTATTACGACATGAATTCTGCAGAAAAGTTTCAATCATCAGAACATTATAGCAAAGGATGGTAAGAATATAACTTGTATCTACTTAACAATCTGCCCCTTTTGTATCTAAAAAAAATTTTCACTCCTATAAATAAATACAGTAAATTGCCACCAGAATTTTCTTTTGAAAATTCTAATTTCGCTGCATTCTGATTGGTCGCAAACTCGTCAATTTAAATCTACTTAACAATCCCACCCCCTTTCGTTAAAAGTAGGAGATTGTAACTAGATCCCACAACGTACCATTAATTTTCTAACCATTGAGAATAAAAATGCAACTAACCATTAATGTTCTGTGGCGGTTCATCTGGCAACAGTTTCACTTTCGGATTCATTTCTTCGCCAGATTCTATTTCGGTTGAGTAGCATTGTTCAGCTGCTTCCTAATACATTTCATCAATTCGATAATTTTGATTCAACAATAAAAAATACAAGTCCCATGATTACCAACTGGTTGACCACATTCTTGGAGTTATTTTTGAAAAACCTCTCTGACAGTGAAATACAAACAAAACGACCCAAAAATTATGGTCCCACAAAATCATGCAGTACGTTTGAAGCACGAGTGGATTTTAAGAACCCCTTACCAACCAACGAATCCTCCCTTTGGTCTTATTTTAAGATATCTACTTTCGTCCGACCACCAACCTAAAAAAAATTTCTTAAGGCGCTAATAAGAACTGATTTTTTAGACAAACTAACGCAATTTTTTTTAGACAAAAGTTCCCAAAAACTTGCCAGCGGCGCTAGAAATTTTTGCAAAAATGAAGTCGTTATAATGTTCTTGTTAGACTCGCAAAATCAATTTGGTCGACCTAAAAAAAGGCCAACAAAGCTTTTGAATTTTATTTGAAAAATATTTGCAAAATAAAGAAGTTTAGTGTGTCGCATTAATCAAAATTAGCAGCTTCAAATTTTGCCTGCCTTCAAAACTTTCCAGTCAATCTTTTCCATCATGCGCGTCACAAAATCAGGGTTGAAATCAATATCGTTAATCTTCTTAATTGTAACTTCTAGTTTGAAAGGGTATCCGTTTTTGACGCCTTTGACGTGAGATTGCATCAAGTTGTGAGTTAGAAGCTTCATGTTTTACATCTAAAACAATTCAGGCAATGGTATTGCGTAATTAAGGTTGGGATAACCCGAACATCAACTAGTTTGTGCAGATTTTAGATAAAAATCGCGAGAAGAATCCTAGCTTTGCACCACTTGTGATACAAAAACATCGCACAACAAAACTGACATTAGATTCGGATTGGAAATGGATACATCAAATGAAAATGTGTTCTCATGAAATTGAGTTCATCACAAAAAACAGAAACACAAATAAAAAACGGTAGGTCGGATATTGATTCGAAATGATCTTCTACGGAATTCAACCGCAGTGAAAAAAAAAACGAAAAAAAATTCAGCTGAAAATCTCGTTAAAAGCATGTTAAAAACCCTAAGATCGAAATTGATGCTCGCAACAGATAATACCAGTTTATTATTTGGAAAAAGAGAGCTAACCGAGTATGATAATGTTGCTATTATCCTTGTGTTAATGCAAGTTAAAAATCTTGTTGTTAGGAATAAATTCTTATGCATCCCAGCCTTTTCTCCGTTTAAGTTTATTGGTCAAAAATCTGAGCATCAATCTAATTCAAGTTCAAAAAATGGTGAAAAAACGACCCCAGTAACTTTCTGCGGAACACTTCAGGAGCACTACCATTTTTTATATTCCGTTTTAATACTCAACCAAGTTATCTTCAATCGTTAACAAATCTAACGATTGAAATAATTAACATAACTTCATAACTAATACGAACTAAAAATTTCATCAACACGTAATTTATTTCTTTCGCAATTTTTCCACCATTTCCGCTGATCTTTAAAAGAGCAACGATTCTAATTTTAATTCAATCAAATTCCCAAATGGATATTCAAAAAAGAGGCAAAAGAAAAATTACACAAAATAAATATACGTCACCATCTCATGTTCAGCGCTCATATCGGTCTTTCAAAAAATGATTAGAAATTTTCCTGATGTAGAAAAACAGAAACGCAACACAATCTAAACTAAGTTTCGCTTTATTCATTAAACATAAAACAGACTTTAAAACTTTCAATTTCAATTATACCACCACAGACGAAAATTAATACTGTGAAGGCGATAGATAAAATGAAAAACAAGTACAACAAAATTTTAATAGTTTTACAGAGCTTCAAAAAAAAACCTAGCCAACAAACAGTTGGAAAAGAGTAAATGAACACAAGTGAACAGAAAAAAATTATAAGGACTTGATTTTTTGAAAAAATCTCAGCTTTCGAAGATTAAAATCCACGTTCGAAACTATGTCGATCACGTGTTTTGTAACTTTACACTTTTGCTGTTCGATGGTGGAATTTGCCTTCCTTTCAAAAAAGGAAATGAACTGAACTCAAAAATAATTCAGAAGTCAATCCATGAAAAAGTATATAGAGCCTGAATAAATTTGAAAACTTTTCCTAAAAAAACTTGAAAACAACCATCAAGACCTACATAAGCAACTGAACTACGTTCATCGACTTTTAAAAAAATGCCCAACCCAAAAAAAAATCTGAGCAATTTCCTCTCCGTAATGACCAATTGAGCTATCTCCCCCCCCCCCCCCACCCAAGCAAAAACGGTAAAACACTACAAAAAGACGTCAGCAAACGCAAGAAAATGGTTGATATGTTGGTAGCAAGCAATCGATTGACAGATTGAAGTTTATTTTATATGAGTATCGAGAAAAACTTTAAAAAAGAAAAAAAATGAATTTTTAAAAAAAAAATTTTTTTTTTTGCAAATATTTGTTTGGGCGACCATTGCCTCATCAGGAAAGCAATTTAACAGGGTTGATGCTCTAGTCTTGTATCTGAAAATCAAACATTGCTCTCCGCACCACCTTAATATTGTATGCAATACATTTTTCATCGTTTGAGGACAGAAAAAAGTCGCTTTATATGCCTCAGTTTTATTGAATCTTTTTCACTCTGATTGTTTAATTTTTGAGCTTTGATGTTGTAAATTTTGGCTTTCCACATTCGACTTCATTATTGAGAGATGCGAGTTTCTGAGCTAACTGTCTGATAAGATCAACGTATACTTTATCTTCAAGGTAATCTGGTTGTATTGTCAAAAATAAAACAACCGTTTGTAAATGGGTTCGAAAAGAGTCGTCCATTTCATTCAGAGCCTTAAAAAGAGCTTGAAAAAAAAGCGTCACAAGCATGTAATTTGCATTATCTTTCATCATTTCCAATCTTACCGAAAGCTTCTTAATTCTCCATTGTGGATGTGCTTTCATTAGGGAAACTAATTTTAAAAACCTATCTATTTAGAGGACGAAGAAGACCCAGCCGGGGTCCGAGCGGGACAAGCGGGAAACGCACGAGTTATCTGTGCGGCAAAGAACACACAGGGTTTTCGGAACGGAAGGGAACAAACCGGGAACGGCGAGGACCCAAAACCCCCCGGAATACCAACAGAGTGGCGAAGACCCAGCCAGTCAGAGCACCTCTTACAACAACATTGTGGCCAGAACCTCCCCCAGGTTCGAGTGTGTCGGGTTTTTTGTCGCTGACTCGGGACTAGCCCATCTGGGTCAGCTAATAACGAGGGCCGGAGACGTTGAGAAGAATCCGGGACCCACGCTGTGCGGAGAATGCAGGAAGAAAGTAACAAGCAACAGCGTGAAATGCACATGGTGCGAACAATGGATACACCAAGGATGTAGCGGTCTATTCCGGCAAGAGATCCAACAGCTAGCTAAAGCCAACAGATATGCATTTGAGTGCACCAAATGCAGTTCCGCTCTGTCGAACCCTAACAGAGAGTTTCCCGAGGTTGAAACGAGGGGAGAAAAACCCTGCGAAAACCCCGCGCAGGAGCCAAAGGAAGCAAACGGAACAGACACAAGGGTACCAAGGGAACAAGCTCCCTGGCCCCACCTCGACCAGGAGTCAGCAGAGGGTGAACCGAGGGGAACAAATACCTGCGACAACCCCGCGCAGGGCCCAACACTGACAAACGAGCTCCCGCAAAGAGAGGAACCGAAGAGTCCCTGCCTCCATCCCGGACAGGAGCCTGAAGAAGAAGAAACCAGGGGCATAGACAGTTGCGAAAACCCCGCGCAACATCTTCTGCGGCAAAAAGACTCGGACAAAGGGGAGAAAACAAGGAGAGGAAAAATGAGACGCCCCACTGAAGAACACCGGGAAGCTCGCAGACAGAAGAGAAAACAAAGAAGATTACCCACTCCCCCCGAGGGACAGCCGAGTATTACGGTAACTGCATGGAACCTACAAGGGTTATCAGTCCACGAAAGAAACAGAAACCGACTGAAGAGAGTAATTACGTATGCACAAGGCAAAAGATGGGAAATAATCTTAATATCAGAGCTTCGATCAAAATCGAAAGGAGTGATATGGCTAGGTGAAGATAGTGAACAAACAGCTGTTATACACTCCCAACGTAGCGGTATAGTTCTCAGTGGCGAGGCCCTCAAGTCCTGGATCAGCGAAGGCCAAAAGAAAAGTTTCTCGGAGCGCACTACCGCCATAGAGGTACATGGTATGAAAATTATATCAGTTTACCAACCACTTTGGAGTAACGGGGTCGAAGGAATAGAAGAATATAGACACTGCCTAGAAAATGAAGTAGCCCGAACCCCCAAGACCAAGGTATTAATAATTGGAGGGGACCATAATGCTCACATTGGAAGGGAGAGAGCCTGTGAAACAAATGGAAGGTATGGTCTAACCACGCCAACAACCGAAGCAGGAGGAGACCTCCTCGATTGGTGTGTAGCGCACGATCTCCAATGGATAAACTCTTTCTCTAACCTTAGGAAAAGGGGAACTTGGTTTAACCACAGCCACCGCAGATGGTATGAGCTGGACGGATTTATAATGAGGCGAGGAGAAAGGCACAGGCATGCAAAAAGGATACAAATTACCGAGGAGCTAACGCTATCGGACCACAAGCCGGTATCCCTCCACCTAAAAATCCCAAAGAGGTCCAGACCAACAAGAGTAGCACGGAAACCAGCAATAAACTGGGAGAAATTGAGTACTGAGCAGACAGCTCTAAAATTCCAAAAGGAGACCGAGACAAAGGAGGTGGACGAGGATAGCTCATGGAGCGAAATAGCGACAGCGCTAACGCAAGCTGCATTAAAGGTATGTGGAAAGAGAACCAGGCAGATAGCGAATCCGTGGACGATCGGCCACGAAGATGAGCTGCCACAGCTCCATAATTCCATAGCTTCGGCCGTGAGGGATAGAAACGAATCCTTAGAGCAAGACCGTCCACTCCAAGATATACTGCGTAATAGGGACAACCTTAGGAAAGCAAGGGCTAAAATGAAGGGGAAGCTGAAAGAATTAGAACGTGAATGGTGGGATAAAATCCTAGACGAATGCCAACAGGCCAACATCAAAGGAGATATGGGCACCATGTACCGAACACTACGCCAATTAGGCGGCAGAGATAGGAAACCGGATACTGGCACAACACTCACAACTGATGAATTCAAAGCCCACTTCGAAGGAGTATCGAAAAACCGATATGAAATCAGCCCTCAGCTTCTAATGGATACTGTTGCACGTATGGGGGATCACAGAGCGGAAAAGAAGTATATCGAAGAAAATAACCTGCTAAATGAGACCCCATCGGATAAGGAAATACAGGACTGCATCAGTGAAATAAGGGAGTCCGCGCCCGGAAAAGACAATGTCCGCATAAAGTACATCAAATTGGCCAGCCCACATATTAAATCAGCAATAGTGGCCATGGTTAAAAAGATGTTCTTATTCCGCGCCCCGACATGGGACGAAATCCTAAAAAACGGACAAATAGTACCCCTACATAAGAAGGGCGGAAAAAATGATGTAAACAACTATAGAGGAGTCTGCCTATTGGCCATGGGCAGCAGGATCCTGGCAAGAATTCTGTCCAAAAGACTAAGAAAGTGGACAGAACGCCTAAATATTCTAGATGACAATCAAAGCGGCTTCAGGACCGGAAGGTCGACTGCGGATGCAACACAAATCCTGGTCAGAATAACAGAAGACGCAGACGATCTAAAGAAGAG